CCCCCCCTCCCCGACCCTGAGCGCTTCTCCCTGCCCGCACCCCCGGCCACCACTCTCCCTCCCTCTCTCTGTTTCTCTCTCTCCCCTCATCCCTCCCCTCTCTCTCTGCAGCCCATGCTGCTGCTCCTCGTCTCTGTGTCACTCTCTCCTCCATCAAGGAGCCAGTCTGACTTCAGCCAAGTCCCTGGAGCACTGACTAGACAGCCACAAACACACCCCTCCAGCCTGCGCTCGCCACAGGCCGGCTCGGGAGAGGGGCTTCCTGGCCCCTCCTGGCCACTCGCCCCCCGCCCTCCCCGTAGTGACCAATTCCTATCTCTTCCCTCTCCGCAGGCTCAATGAACGAATGAATGTGAACCTCTTCATCTGTGAAAATCTTTTATTATTTTTTTTCCATTTTGTTCTGTTTGGGGGCTTTTCTTTTTTTTGGTTTGTTTTTTTTTCCGTTTGTTTGTTGAGAGAGCGAGGGCTGCCAAGGGGGTGCCTGGGGAGCCCTCGCTGGGAGCGGCCCGAGGCCGCGGCGCGGGCAGTGCCGGCCTCTCGCTCTCTTGCTCATTCTGTGTCTCACATGCATTTTTTCTTTCAAAATTGGGATCCTTCATGTTGAGCCAGCCATAGAAGATAGCGAGAACTAAATCTCTGCAAAAAAGTAAAAAAAAAAATTTTTAAAAAAAAAAGCAAAGCAAAACTTATAAAATTATATATATATATAAAAATCTCTATTTCCCCCCCACCTTCCTGAAACTGCCTCTTTCAGGAGAAAGCAATTCATTCACTCCCTACTACCACCCTTGGCCCTCTTCATGTTTTTAAAATAAACTTCTAAAAAGGAAAAAAAAGTCACTCTTGCTATTTCTTTTTTTTAGTTAGAGTTGGAACATTCCTTGGACCAGGTATTGATATTGCAGGAAAAGGTGCCCCCCCGCCCCACGCCAGGCAGCCCCTCGGCCTCTCTGCTCCTCCTCTCGCTCCTCCTTCTGCCCCAGCTCAGCTCCCCCCGGCCCTCCCCCCTCCCCAGGACTGGTCTGTCGTGTTTCATCTATTCAAGGGGACATTGAAACTGAACACAAATGGAAAACAAAACAAAAAATTGTATGGCAGTTTTTACTTTTTATCGCTCGTTTTTAACTTCACAAATAAATGATAACAAAACCTGCCCGTGTCTGCTGGGTGCCGTCTCTCTCTCCCCATAGACGTTTGAAGCAGATGTTTGTTCTTTATAGATGTTGTAAACGCCTGATAACGGTGATTGGAAATTACAAGCTTTGTGTTGTGTTGGTTTTTTTTTTTAAGAAAACGGAATTATAAGAGAAAATAGTTTTCTGCAGGCGCATTGTGCTTTCCTAACCCCCCCATCCCTTTTTTTGGTTAAATAAAGTGCTTTTTGTCTAAAACTGCGTGCTGGCCGCAGTTGTGTTGGTGGAGGAAACGAGTTGAAGAGGAACAAGGCTTGACCAATGAGAGTAGGGTGTGGGCCCCCCAGACTTCACCCGTCTGGTCGTGCCTTGCAGGAAGGGAGAAGCAGGCTGAGCCCCTGAGGTGCAGTCCTCCCCCAGCGTTTCTCCTGGGAACTTGGGGAGCGAGGCACCCAGGAGGGTCCCTGGGGACAGGTGTTCCCATGGCTACAGCTTGCCACCACGCAAACCCACAGCCATGCCTCACGGGAGTCAGCCTGGCCTTGGTACACACCTAGCTGTGTCCTCTTTTGCTAGTGAGCCCTGAGGTGCAAACCTGGCCCGTTCAAGGAGACAGTGTCCATTCCAGTGGTTGGTGGCAGCCCAGGGATGAGGACAGGAGACGGGAGAGTGAACTGAGGGGCCACCTGAGCTGCCTGGCCCAGGGGGGACCATCTGGAGGCACGCTGTGTGGCCGCATTGGTCCCTTGGCATTTATGGTTGAATTACGGCACTTAAAAGTCAGGTTTCACAGTCAGAATCGGGATGCCTGGGCCCACAGGCCTGAGTGGGGCAGCACCAGGCAGGAGTGGCAACAGCTGCAGCCGCAAGGTGGGCTGCACAGCCCCGCAGCCTTCCAGATTGGTCAGTGGCAGCCCTCAGTCAGCCCACCTGGGCAGCAGGCTTGGGTCACGTGGGCAGTCAGCCTAGACTGGAACCCTGGGGACCCCCTCCCCAGGCGTCTCACCTCAGGCAGTGCACCCCCTCTGAGCTGTGTGCAGGTCCCAGGGGGAGGGGGACGTCGGCCCCCAGCCCTCTCCCACCTCACTGCAGACTTTCGATGACAGAGCAGCACTTGACAAAAATGTCTTCTGGAGCTGCCTCTGCCAGGATCTAGAGGAGGGGAAGCAAAAGCGGTCAGCTCTGAGTGTAGCAAGGTCACTGCCCTCCACCAGTGCCCCTCCCCACCCAACGAGGGGGAGACAGGTTCGCAGGCCTGTGGATTGAGTGGTCAGGAGTGGAGAGGTGCAGCCCCAGGGCCACGCAGGTGAGGGATGCGGGAAATGGGTGAGGAGGGCTGCCGGGCAGTGTGATGCGTTACTAGCGGCTGGGCGCTCAGCCGCACAGACTGCGGAGATCCTGTCCCTCGGAATAGGCCGCAGGACCAGGGTTGTGCCAGGCTGGCCCACTGCCTTCCCCTCCCATCCTCCATGGTCGGGGCTAGTTCCTCTCGTGCCCCCTCTTAGGTTCAGTTGGGGGAGGGGAGCAGGAGTGACACCAAAGTTCTCGATCTTCACAGCAACGCAAGTACAAGAATTGCATGGGTTACTTTGAAGAACTAAGGTTCCTACTTTCTACTTTGAGAACACATGTGGCTGGATTTGAGGTGAGCTGTGGTTGACCAGTTGTCACAATCTTACGTTTCCTAGACACATTCTGAAATGTATTTAAGTATGCAGTTTTGGAGCCATTCTGTTTAGACCTTACGTGTCACAGCTGGGAGGCCCGCACCCATTCTGCCGAGGGAAAGAAATGGAACCCCTCCTCGTCCACATTGGGGAAACCAAGGCCCAGAGGGGTCTGGGCCCCAGGGTGACGGCCTAACCCCTGTGCTCTGTGAGCTGGACTTGCCTCCCTAGGGGGCCACTAGAGTGAGCGGCAGGCAGGGAGCACCTACGTTTCGGAGCAGGTCCTTCTGCTGGTAGGTCAAGACGGGCTCGCACAGGGTGTAGTGCGTCTCCAGGCGCTGGCGGATGGCCGACTCGCAGTCGTCAGCGTGGCGCTCCACCTGGCCCCGGTGCAGAGCTCTCTGGACCATCGTCTCCATGGAGCCGTCAAACACGATGACGACACTGGGGGCCCGGCCCACCTAGGCAGCCGTGGAAGGGGCCGGGCGAGGAAGAGGCTGGTGCAGCAGCCCTCTTGACACCCTGCGAGGACGGAAACCTAGGCTGGTGCCGCCCGGTAAGGAAGAACCAAGCCCCCTGGGTCCGTTTTCCTTTTTCATTTCCAAGTTTGCATTTTCTGTGTTCATGTTTTGGACAGGTAGGACACTGGTGGAGCTCATAAACCAAACAGCAGAACAACAGCAGCGGGGAAGAGTGCAGGGACTCCTCGCTGTCCCCAGCCACCCAGTTTCACCATCCCTGGAGGCAGCTTAAGTTATCTGTTTCTTGTGTCTCCTTCCAGCACTATTTTCGGCATATGCTGTACTGGGCAAATCTCGTTCTGATGGTCTTTTTCCTCCTTTTTTATACAAATGGTGAAGACACTGATTTGCCTTTGACACTATTCACTTAGCATATAGCTGGAGATGATTCCTCTGTTGGCACACACGGAAGTTCCCGGTTCTTTTTAATCACTATATAGTATCCTGTTGTATGGATGTGTCATAATTTACTTAACTGGTTCCTCGCTGGTGGGTTTTTTGACTGAAATATCCCTTTTAAGGTGGATTTAAGCAGTTTTCGCTTGCCTTTCTTTTGTCCAGGCACTTTCACTGGGGACAGTCTGAGAGTTCCCAGCTCACTGCTGCCCACATCCCTGCTCTGCCCTCCAACCCCAGGGAGACTTCCATGGCTCCCCAAGGCTGCCCACTATGAGCCCCACCTCCTCCTAGTTTCTCCAGAATTTCCTTGTAAAATAGAATACAACAGCACATCAAAAACAAAAAACCACACAGCCATATGAGAGTCGTCCAGGAAAGCAAGGATGGTTCATCACAATTTATTGTGTTAACATCTTAAGTAAAGAAAAAGTCACATTGTCATACACACAAAAAGGGCAGTTTAACTGACAAAACTCATGCATTCCTGATTGAAAAAAAAACACACTAGGAATTGATAAATGTATCCTCAGGCAGCATCTTATTTAGTGGAAACTTCCCTTCCCACTAAAGTTGGGAATAAGATAAAATTGCCCACACTTGCTGTTATGACTTAGATACGAGAGGATAGCTAAAGCAGTGAGATAAAAAGAAAGCAATTCGAGAAACCAGAATTGGAAAAAAGGAGATAAAATCGTGTCTGCTCGCAGATGATGTGATTATTCCTGGAAAACTCAAGAAAGTCAACAAACTAGTACCAACTGGAGAGACTCTGACGGAGCATTAACATACAGAAGGCCCCAGCCTACACGTAGACAAAAATCACCGGTTAGCAATAAGAAAGAAGGCCCCATTTACAGCAACACTACAAGCAACAAAAAAAAGAGGCAAAACTTTTTCCCAAAATGTGCAACGTCTTTAAGGAAGATCTTTAAGGAGAGCTTCAGTAAAATATTCCTAAGTGACTCCAAAGGAGAATTCAACAAAAGGAAGATAGAAATGTTCTTGGAGGGGAAGACTCAGCATTATAAAGGAGCTGAGATGTTCCTAGATGACTTTCTAATCTTAACATGAGCCAAATACTATCTTTTTAGAGGAGATGGATGATTTCTAACATTCATATACAAAAATAAGCAGCAATGTCCAGGGGAACGCAGACAAGGATAAGCAGTGGGGTTGGGGAGGGGCATCCAACATGCTAGATACCAAAACAGGAAGAGTGCATCATTAAAGCACCAGAGCACAAGTGGACAGACAGGCCCGTGGACAGAACAGAGAGCCCAGAAGTAGACCTGGATGAATACGGAAAGTTGGTCTATGGCTAGGTTACCATCCGAAGTGGAGAAACAGGCTTTTAAATAAATGACACGACGACAGCTGGGTCACAATTTGGTAAAAGATCAGATTGAATCCTTACCTCATTCCCCAGACTAGGATAAATTCCAAATGGATCAGAGACATACACGTAGGAAATAAAACTGTACAAGTACTAAAGAAACCACGGATGCGTTACCTCATAACCTGGGATTGGGAAAAACAGCAACAGCATCTCGAAATCCAGAAGAAATAACAGAAAATAATGATAACTTTGACAAAAGTTTAAAAAAAATAACTTCCACATGTCAAAAAGTCACAGTAAAGCAAAAGATCTGACAAACCGGTAAGGGGGTAGTTTTAATAACCTATATTGCAAACGGCTAATATATAAAGAGTTCCTAAAAGTCAAGAAGAAAAAGGCCAACAATCCACTAGGGACAAAAAAAAATGAGCAAAAGATATAAAGTGCAACAAAGAAGAAATGAAAATGGCCCTAAAACTTTGGAAAAGATGCCAAAGCCTCATTCACCGTTAATGCTCATTTAAAATCAGGGAAATACTATTTCGCACCTACACAGGTTGACAGACATCCTTGACGTGGCCGTGAGGAAATGGCCACTGCATCTACTGCTGGTGGCAGTGCTGAACACAGAATTCCACTCCTAAGAACCCATCCTAAAGATGCACGCAAAAATACGAAACGCCATGAGAAGGTGACTGAGTGGGGCATGGTTGGTGGTGGCAAAAGACTGCAGACAGCTTGTTGTCCATGGGCCATCATTTGAACAAACAGTTGCACTGCCACACAACGGAATACTGGTTGTTAAGAGGGACAAGGGAGGAGAAGACACTTCTTGACACTGATGTGAGATCTTCAGAATATATTGTGAAGTTTAAAAAAAAATAAAGACTGGTAAAAACGGAATGCTAGTTTTTGTGTGAGAAGGAATCACACACACACACCTGCTTTGTATTTGCAAAAAGAAACGCCAGAAGAAACACTTGAAAACAGTTGCCTAAGGGCAAAGGAGAGCACGGTTCTGGGGGAGGGGGGAGGTAGATATACCTTTTTATGCAACTTTGACCTTGGAATCTTTTAAATCTGTTGCAAATTCAAAAATGTGATTTTAAAAAGCAATCGCTCAACTTCGAAAACCAAGCTGAAACGAACAAGCCCTGCACGTCAGTGTCACATCACGGCTACACAGAGGAAGTAACGATCTCAAGGGACCCAGGGTTTTTATTGCACATCCACAGCAAGATGCACTGTAGGGAAAACCAGAGCTGCGAAGAAATCTTAAACTTCCTTGGGTAGTTTTATTCCCAGGAGTTACCATCGGTATATTCTTTGGAAGCTCTTTGGTATCTGATGGAATCATGCAGACGAGAATGTCAGCGGTTTCAGGAACCAAACTTTGTAGGGAAAAGAGAAAAGAGAAGTAAAGCACTCGTGTTAAAAGAGAAGTAAAGTACTCGTGTTAAGTGTGAGCTGGAGATATCAGTATGAGCTGGTGATTTTTTTTTTCCTTTCAAAAGTGCATGTTTCCTGGCTCTGTCAGCTGGAAAGTCTTGGAAATGATGACAGCCCTGGAGCAGTGAGTACCCCGGCACCCAGACGGGACGCCACTGCAAAAGGGCTCCTCGGAGAAGTGGCCGATTCCAGGGCTGGGCCAGAAATGCGAAAGGTCGGGTGGGAAGTCTTGTGCAGAAAGCGGGAGGGCGAGTGTGCAATGGGGCTGTGTCCAAAGGGTGCCGTGCGGAGTGAGCGGGCTCTTTTTGGCCAAAGATGTGCCAGCTTGAGCAGTAACAGAAAAGACTGATGGAAACACTTGAAATGCACGAAGGATGAGAGAGAAAGAGAACAAAACAAAGGAAGACAAGACAACGAACCTCGCTGTCACCACTGGAGGCAACGAGGACGCCCACTCCTCGGCCTGAAAATGGGCCCTGGAAGCGGGGGAAGGAAAGCGCTTAACCTGCCTGCTGGGCAGGAGCTATAGTTCAGGATAACCAAACAGCCCCCCTTGAGGAAGGTGATGTCTTCTTCTGGGAAGAATTCTAGCAAATCAATGTGGGGGAAAGAAAATGACTGGAAAATGCTAGAAAACACCAACCATCATCTGAGCATCATCAGCAAATCGTAATCTGCTTGCTGGCGGAGGGCCTGGCCTTGGTGTTGTGGCGGATGACTGATCAGAGTGGTGGGCACTGAAGGCTGGGGCGGCTGCCGCAATTCCTTTAAATAAGACGGGGTGAACTCCGCTCCGTCGATGGACTCTTCCCTTTTTTCCCTTTGTTCTTTGAGGGGGAGGTAATTAGGTTTATTTATTTATTTATATTTGGAGGAGGTACTGGGGATTGAACCCAGGGCCTCGGGCATGCTAAGCAAGTGCTCTACCCCTGAGCTGTACCCTCCCCCCTACACTCTTCCTTTTATGAATGACTTCTCTGTAGCCTGCAGTGCTGTTGGAGGGCATCTTACCCACAGCAGAACTTCTTTCAAAATTGAAGTCCATCCTCTTAACCCCTGCCACTGCTTTATCAACAAAGTTTATGTCATATCCTAAATCCTTTATTGTTATTTCAACAATCTGCACAGTGTCTGCACCAGGGGTAGTTTCCATCTCCAGAAACCACTTTCTTCGCTCACCCGTAAGAAGCAGCTCCTCATCTGTTAGAGTTTTATCCTGAGACGACAGCAGTTTGGTCACATCTTCAGGCTCCACTTCGAATTCTAGTTCTCTTGCTGTTTCTTCTGCATCTGCAGTGACTTCCTCCACTGAGGTCTTGAAACCCTCAAAGTCACCCGTGAGGGTTGGAATCAACTTCTTCCCAATTCCTGTTAATGCTGATATCCTGACCTCTTCCCATGACTCAAAAATGTTCTTAGTAGCATCTAGAATGGTGAACCCTTTCCAGAAGGTTCTCACATGACTGCCCAGATCCATCAGAGGAATCATGACCTGTGGCAGCTACAGCGTTACGAAACGTCTTTCTTAAGAATAAGACTTGTAAGTGGAAATGACTCTTTGATCCCCGGGCGGCAGAATGGATGCTGTGTGAGCAGGCATGGAAGCCACGAGAGTCTCACCGTCCGTCTCTGTCAGGGCTCTGGGGTGACCAGGTGCATGGTCGATGAGCAGTCATATTTTGAAAGGAAACTTTTTTTCTGAGCAGCAGGTCTCAATCTCGGGCTTAAAATACTCAGTAAACCGTGTTGGAAATAG